GTCAATAGACATTATTTGTAAACTCCTGGGAAACAAGTCCATTGGGAAACAATGGTTTAGACCCAAAAGAACAAGTGTGACTGTGATCCAAGTCTTCGTATTCAAAACCATAAAAGTCATCAGTGATCAGCAGCTCCTTGTCGTTCTACAGACAGTGATTGCTCGGTGACGTACCTGCAGTTGACATTTCTGATGAGCCAATTTCGTTGGTCCAATTTCCGAGCTGTGTGGTAAATATTTATGAGCTCTGGCCTCGGTTTCTTCTCTCCTGAATAGCGATTCAGTTGCCCCGGAGTTCTGTGCTGAAAACAGAAGGCGAGAGCACCAACACATCGCTCTTCCTCCTTTTCTTTTCAGGCTGCATTTGCTTGGAATTTAAATATTCACGCTCACAACATAAAGGGAATTCCAAATGAGGGGAGTGCCTGTGAAAAGTGCTTAAAGTTTGATTGGGCGTAACTTTCGTCTGCGCTCTCGTTACACTGTTGGGAGTGTACGGCACATTTTTAAGTCTCTGCCCGTGACCCGTCATCCTCGGCGGTATCTCGGCGTGGCAGCCATCTTTCCTGTCATGACTCACTGCTCTGCAACACTCTACTGGTCTGTGTGACAGCTTCTGGCCCGGCTTCTCCTTTTTCATAATCAGCTGTGCTAAATATTCCAGTTCTCACAGCGTCTTACGCTTTTTTTTTCTATATCTGTTTCAACTCCTCTCCACCTCCTCCTTTATTCACACCAGCCTCATTCTCGCTCGCGACGCCTCTGGTTTCAGGACGAGGGGATTTGACTTGCATGAGGGTCTTGGCCTACGCATCCCTCCCTTTAAGAAGCTCAGAGTGTGTGTGTGTGTATGTGTGTGTGCAAACACATGCTAATGTGGCTTGGTCTTGGTCCTTGGGATCCCACTGAAGATGACAGTCCTGAGGGAGCATTGTTAGGGCCAACACACTGAGCTCGGCAGATGGGAGGAGAGAGAGAGACGGAGGCTGGGTGACGGAGACAGACGGAGACAGACGGAGGCCGTCGTCCTCACAGCCACACTTCTTATACCTTCATTTCACCATTTGGGCTCCACAGATGCTGTAGGCACTATGAAACCAGCCTTTGTGAGTATGGAGTCCTTTTTAGCTCTTCTTGGGGTTCATTAATTACATTAGTGTCTCATGAGTTCATTATTTGAGAGAATATTTTATTTATTTTTATTTTAAATTGAGAGAATTTTTTTATTTTAACATTTCTGTTAATATCAACTTTCCTGGAAAGACTGTTTGGTAACTAGAGTTATTGGTGAAAGACCAGACTAGACTTTTTTATGTTTTGTTTTTTTTGTTTTGCATCTTTTTGTACCGGTGTTAAGAAAAGTAGCCTCAACCTGCTGTGGTTGTGTGTCATGATCTTGTTTGGCCAACAGGGGGGATTTTCATTTTTGAGATGATACTCAGACCTGCAGCAGCTCGTCTGGCGTAGTCAGTGCAGAGAAGTGAGTTCTTCGGTTGGGTAGCTGTAGTTCCGTGACAGGTTTCATCTTATGGCGACGTGTTCTTCTTTGATCTTTGAGTTTTTGGAGATGCTTTTAAAGATAACATTGTTCCCAGAAGTTCCTAGAAGCATGACATTGTGCTATTTTAAGAGGCGCTTGATGAGACTGCTGACAGCGCTTATTGTGCTTATTGAGTGTGCGTTTCAGTTCGGTGATGAAATGTTGTACGTGTGTTTGTGTGGGTGGTTTCAGTCCAGGATTTGTTGCGATCATAGTTCTAATTGTGATGGGTGGGGGTGAGGGGGGAGTAGCTCTGTTGGCCTCCGTTGGTGAACGGAATCTGTCAGTGTGTCAGGTGGTCTGGAAGTAGCCCGTTTGTGTCCCACAGTTGAGCAGAATTTAGGGCCAGTCAATTCAAGTAGTGGCCTGTGGGCCACATGTGGCCCAGATGTAACCTCATAATGGCCCAGTTGATGGTCCTTTAAGAAAGTAAGAGAAGCCGAGTTGGGGAGTAATAAGATTTCCCCACAAATGACTAGCGACATGCAGCCCACGATAACACATTCATATGTTATGGTCGTTAGCTCTGTTTATTAGCCACTCACGATGTCATGGGTGGAAAATGACTACATTTATAATTTGATGGCCCGGCCTTATGGGTTTTTACACCTCTTCCTCCTCGAACTCATGTTATGTTGTTGCCGATTCTCAAGGCTGTTAATGAAAAAATAAAACACTTCACTTTCAAACAGGAGTGAGTTATTCTGTGGTCCTGGTGGAGCGGGCCAGCTGTGAGAGGCATGATAAATGGATTTGTGTGTCTTTTATCTCACACTGAGCGCCTTTCATCACTGGCAGCTCTTCAGCTGTTGACCTTCAACCTGCCACTGACATCTGACCCCCCTTTATTGTTCCCTCGTCCTACTGAGGCCCTGTGACAATGGTGCCTCTCCATCTCAGGTCTCTGGATTGATTGTCGATTCTGCAGCACGAGACCACATTCTTTCTCCCACTCGTTCAGTTCGTCCTCATGACACAGAGGTTTTTTTACTCCTCCAGCATGAGACTCTTACCTCGAGGAAATCACCAGGCAGTGTCCGCTGATAAGGGTTTATGTTTTCAAAGCTTATACTAAATTCTTTATCCAGCTCTTTCCCCAGTAGCTGCATCCAAATCCCATTAGTGCAGCTCTGGTTTTCATTGGACAGGACGAGGAGACCGATGCCCTGGTCCGTCTCCGCTCGTCTCTAAGGACTGACAGATATTTATACATTTGTTTTATATATGTTATATATTTTTACATGTATAAATGTTATCATATGCACATACATACACATATACAGTATATTAACATATATAGCTTGTGGTAACTTAGCTAGTATTTCAAAGAAACACGGAGTTAATCAAGGGTAAAGTGAACAGGGTTGAAAATGTTGATTTTTATGAACCTGCGCAGCAGACGGTGGCGTCTGTGTTTGCTGACTCGTCTGGATCTTTGTTTACGTTGTCAATTCTCCATTAACATTACAGTCCAACGTGAACGTGAGCCGCTGGTAGACGGAGGTTGTTTGTTAAGTGTGTGCGAGAGACTAATTCACCATCTGGTCAATATGTGAGATTCTAATCAAAGGTATGGAGAAGTAACAGACAGAGCTGAATAGATTGAACTAAAACCATATTCCAATTTTTTTTTCCAGATTGAATAGATTGAACTAAAACCATATTCCTGATTTCTTTCCAGACCATTTATCTTTGCTGAAGAATCACGTTGAAAACACTGAAAAATGAACGCCGCCACATTGTTTGTTTTTTGAATATTTATCGTACTACAAACTGCAGTGCAGAGTCCACATCTCAATCTTGCTGTGTTTCTTTTTTCATAATTTGAAATGTTTTAAGCCTAATTAACTTTGTTATAATAACTCATTATAATACAATTTCGACGCCAGTGGCATAAAATGGGTTCCAATTTAAAAGGTTTTCAAATGGACCGTGGTGTAAATGTAAATAAATAGCCCTGGTTGAGTGTTTACTGGAACAGTGCACGGAAAGAAGGCAAAACAAACCCCCTGACTTCTCTCTCAGCAGACGCCAAAGACTTCTCCTACAACAAAACAAGGAAGATCTAATTCCCCCGACAGCGTAAGAAAGAAATCCATCTATGTAAACGATATCTCCTGGTCATTCTGGGCTCTGGCTCTGTCCTTCTTCTGGATCGTTCCTAGTGGGAGTAGATGGGTTTCTGACAGGATTAATAAATCCATGTGGAATGATATAATCCCAGTGATTATTCATTCCTTCTTTTTTTTTAAATTCTAGAGTCACATGTTTCTCTTTTTGCTCCTCTAACTGACATCAACGACATGAGCTAATCAACACCGTACCAGATGGTACTTTATTTTCATATGCAGTTATGCTAATCAGACCGTTAGCCTGTCATGGTTTGTAATGCAGACTTCCGTAATGTGAGTCCACAGAAAAAAACAAACATTTATATAAAGATAATGACTTTGTATAAAACACTAATATTAATAATATTTAGACAACTTTGTGACAACTCTGCTTCCTTAGCACTATAGTCCACATACACGAAGAGTGACCAACACTATTCTAGAATCAGATGTTTGAATTGTACGTATGTGTTTCATATAATCTTCATATTTTTAATATATATATTGCACCATCCGAATATAAAAACCTCTCAATATATACCAGAAACACATATATATTCACTATATACTATACTATTCCATATAGGTACGCAGCAGTGATTATATTCAGGACTCACATTGACCATAAATACACATTATACTGTAGTATTCTGTGAATTGCACCAACGAAAATGTGGTGTTCTTTGCATGTGTGCATGTCTACGGCATGATGTCATCTTTACAGGTGGAACCTGAACATTGCATTAGTAGGAAATGCATGAAGCTGTGGCAGGACATCCTGGGGATCTGGGTGTTTTTGTACAGTCTGATCTGAGCTTTTATATTATGACAACGACAGACAGTTTTAATCCAGCATGGCCTCTACGTCCTCTTCAGATCTGGACTTTTCCTTACTGGTTTTTTCACTTTGATTTATGACTGTATTCATAAAAACCCGCCCGGCCCGAAGGCTGCACTCCGGCCGTACTTTCCTGCAGCAGTGAGTGCGAGACAACAGAAATGACTGTAATGCCGGGGGCTGTAAATGGGCCATAAAGGCAATGGACCGTGGCGGAGCGGCTTGAGATGCCCTTCAGAATCTTTTACACTTCCACATAAATCTGTTGAAACGGACTTTTCTCACAGCAAAATTTAGCTGTGGTGCCGTCCACCTCCGTTCACAGAGTGCCTGTGGTATTTGTGGGTTGATTGTTTGAGGTGATTTTTTTTTTCTTTGCTGGTGGAAGGTGGAAGGTGGAGGCTGAAATCTGATGTCTTCTCCACTGACTCACCCCTCCCTCCACCTCCCTCCCTCTCTCACCGTCTCTCTTCTTCTCCTGTCCTCAGATCGAGAAGATCATGACACTGATTGGTGCTGGCATCGATTTTTCCAGGGATCAGCAATATTCCACACCAGGTAGAGTATGTCCATGAATGACACATTTGTTTCTTGTTAGGATTTTTTAATCAACCGTGTTTTATTGATTAGGTTGACCTCGTTTGACCTTTCCTCCCTCCTTTGGGATAGCTCACCCCACTGTGACTGAAATTGTAATTATTGCTGCTACTTCTGAACAGAGACATTTTTTCTTTAGAATGGAAAAATGAATGTAGCTTTGTTTAGTACCTCATTAATTCTAAGATCACGTCGATCACAGTCCAAGTTCTGGGCCGAACAGATTGATTAACATTTATTGAACAGTACAGTGCTGACGATGCGCTAAACAGAAATATTGAACAACTGCAACAACATTTTTCCTCAGTAAAATAAAATAACTCAATCCAAAATAATAACGTCAAGCATAATTGGAATTAAAGAATTATGAAATATGAATTGGACTGGACCACTGCATCAGCGCCATCTAGTTCAAACTAACACAAGCCTTGAGTTTGACATATGTGGTACAGGTGAGTAGTAGGTTATGCTTTAATTTCTCTGTACCTTTTTAATGATTTAATGTAAACTATCTTACATAAAAAAACAGCAAAAAAATTAAAAAGTAAAAAAAAAGCAAAAAAGTAAATAAAAAAGATCCTATAGATTTGTTTTGGCTGCACTCGAAGTCTAAATTTTTAATTCTAGCTACACGTACGGATGTTTGTTTTTGTTGTTGTTCTATGTTTTTGGAACAGATTCAGAGAGATAAAGATAAAGTTATCAACAAAGTCCTGTGCAGCTCAGCTCTGCTTTCGACTTTTGTTTTTTATTACAAAAATAAAAAAGTCTTTCCTGGCTACAGATTTCATCAAAAATCGACTTTTTTCTCTGCAAAGCACTATTTATTTATTTATTTAGTTAGTTAGTTTTGCTTTTTTACTGAGTCAGCATTTCTAAGCTGCCACTGTTGCTTGTTATTCAGCTTCAGGGGCGGGGTTTGGTAAAACGCTGAGTCTTTTCTAATTAGTTTTAAATTTCTAACAGACAGAGGAATATGTTGTGGTTTCCTTAATGTGAGGTCTGTTTGTTCAGGATTCCGTCATCTCCCTCTCCTCACCCCTTCCTCCCCTTGGTCTGTATTCAACATTCCGCCTCTGCCAACATGAAGTATTAAAGCAGTAGAGCTATTCCCAAGAACAAAGTTCTATCTTTTTCTTATTCCTTTCTCCATGTATGTTACGCTGCTCAACAGTCTGGGCCCAGCTGTTTCATTTTTAACCGTTGCATACTGTGTGTGTGTGTGTGAGTTTGTTCTCCTCACACACAACACTGCAGTGAAGCAGTGAAATCGACTTCCTGTGTCTGTTCGAACACATTCAACGAAAAACAACAACATAAAAAAAAAACATTTTTTCAAGACGAGTGTCAGAGTTTGAAAAAACAACAACAAAAAAAACATTTTTTCAACACGAGTGTCAGAGTTTTAACCCTGTCCCAACGACACCGTCAGTCAACCACAGAGGGACCGACGGGAGGAGAGGTGTGTGTGATGCTGTTGTGAGAATCAGCATCACCCCCTCTCCCCCAATCCCTGCTCGGAATCTTTTACATTCCTTACATTTACCCCCCCCCCCCCCCCCCCCCGAACCCCCCGCTTATTTTTTTGGGGGGGAAAAAGGCATGGGCGACTGACCGAGTCGCCCATAGAAATTTCAAAAGACAC